CATTCAAGAATCCATATTTATTTAATTCATTCATTCTTTTGACTTATTTATTAGTGCATATGCTGTAATATAAATCATACAACAGTACTTTGGACAGTTACAGTGCCGCTCCGTAAAGCTTTCAAGCAAAGTCTTTTGGACGGCCGACATTACAACACGAACACGCCATCCTCCCGGTGGTCTTGCCGGTATTAACAAGCTGTCCTGGCTTTGAATTAAAAAGTGCAATTATTTCCTCGTTGTTAAAAGAGTCTGCAAGTTCGTGTTCCATGGATATAGTGATGTTGTTGTGGAATTTGGACATCGACGATGCAAAGCGTGACTTTATTCGCTTTATTCGATGCGCAGCAGGAAAAAAAAGTCAGCAGCGCAAGTCGCTGGCATGTCTCTCCCGGATCAGAGCGAGTTTTGTGCTGTGAAATACAGCGCTGCGTGCAATAAACTCACATTCAGGCAGGCGAAGTAGGTCTGTATTCAAGTCAATAAAATAATAACTTTAATGAATAAAATATCTTCGTAAGAATGTGATGAGTTATTCACTTCTCTGCCAGAGACTGCTCTATGGTTTTAAAACCCTTTTCAAACTGTATCGTTTAGACCTGGATCATTATTTTATATTGAATGTACTGTAGTTTATTGAGGATGTCTGATGACTAGCGCGCTTCTGCTGAGCCAGCTGTGGTAGCTTAGCAACCGAGTCGCGACGTCAACACACAGAATCTGTCAGCACAGTTCAGCACGGTTGTCTAACCGTGCCGAGAATTCCGGGCCGAGAACGGTTTGTAATCGTGCCGCGCCGTTCCAGGCTCAGTGGAGAAACAACCGTAACCGTACCGAAGTGTTCTTAGAACGGTTTGGCACGATCGTGGAAAAGCAGCTATATAGGTGTGTGTGTGTGTGTGTTAAATGAGCACAGCCTGACCTCCTCCATCTGCGGCAGCACGATGACCGTCATGGTGCCGGTGTGAATGCGCTGCATGCGGGACGATAAACCCACTTCAGGGATCCTCTGCACTCGGTGTGTGCCACCCTCAAACTTCAGCCAGCGGAAAACACACTCGCCAGAGACACGCACGGAGGCGTGATGGAGACCTCCTGAACACACACACACACACACGCACAAAACACATCTCAGTTACATTAAGCTCACCAAGATGAACTTATATATCTAAATGCACACACATGCACGCACACACGCACACACACACACGCACACACACACGCACACACACACACACACACACACACACACACACACACACACACACACACACGCACACACACACACACACGCACGCACACGCACACACACACAGAGAGAGAGAGAGAGAGAGAGAGAGAGAGAGAGAGAGAGAGAGAGAGAGTTGACCCTCACAGATCTTATGATTTACTATATTATATTTGTGCATATACATTAGATTAGTCAATACTGAAGCCAAATTTGGAGCTCATCTAAAAAAAATAACTACAATAACGCTTCAAAAATTAGTAGCCCAAATGAAAATGTTATGAAAAAATATTAAATAAAAAAGAGCAAAAATCAAGAGAAAAAATATGTATAAAATTGAGTTTTTAATGTATTTTAATGTATTTTAATGTGTCATCTTTCTTTTTCTAAAGATTTATGTAAAGTATGTGTTGTGTTTATGATGGTGGGAAATGTTTCATTTTATTTATGTCTCTTATGAGTTGATTTTTGCCATGTAATGTTGTCCACTCTCAGTGATTGACACATGAGTTGAGTAAACAGAAGTCACTCTGAGTGTCTAAAATACATCAAAATTAATAACAAGAGCAAACAATGCAGCACAATTACCATTTTAACACAACAAATGACAATGCTTCTGTTTATTCTAACTAATAATACAAACTATATTTCAATTGTAGTGAAATATACCTGTGTTCAGCACAGAGACAGAGGGGATGCTGGGTAATGCAGCGTACCGTATTCAGCCGGAGTGTAATTGAAGAGCTCAAAGTCCCAGTTTTTATAAGAAGCAAAGCCCTGATACATGTCGAACATCTCTCTGGTGAACTGCTGACAGATGTCTCCTGTACACACACACACGCACGCACGCAAATAGGTTTGTTTTGGTGAATTGTGGGGACATTACATTGGTTAACATTGTTTTATATGGTGCAATGTGTATTTTCTTTTGCCCTACACCAACTCTGTTACCAACATGCACACACCCTACACAAAACACACACACAGACACAAACACACACACAAAGAGTGACAAACAAACACACAAACATGTGTCGGAGCGGTGTCAGTGTGTGTGTGTTTTGTAAATGTGATCAAACCTCCGGTTGTTCGTCCTGATACGACCTCCAGGATGACGCTTCTGCTGTCCAGATCATCAGGGGGAACCAGAGTCTCGATCAGCTGAAACCATCAGAGCAATGAGCAATGGTATCTGGATGCAGCCTTTAAGCTGAGAGCGCATCGCTCAGAGATGCAGTGTCAGACACAATGCATTCAGTAGAGCTAGTGACTAGGTGAGCGCATTAAAATGCATTGCATGCAGCTCAGCTTGCATCTGCGCCGAGTCTGCAGCCAGACCCCTCTACAAATGAGTGATCAGCAGTACAGACGCCACTGACACACTACTGACGGATAAACACAGAATCAGTGCAGACCTGCTTGTGGAGCCGCTCGACTCTTCTGCCCAGCTCTTCATGTTCATCTCGTAGGAGAGAAAGCATCGGCTGGTCTTCAGCACTAGTGTCTGGAACACACGAGGAACACTGACAGGATTACAGATACACTGGATTACTGACACACTGGAAGGATTACTGACAGGATTCTCTGATTCAGGATAACTGACAGACAGAATTACTGACATTGGATTACGCACACAGACAGAATCGCTGACAATGGATTACCGACCCACAAACATGATCACTGACAGACAGAATTACTGACACTGGACCACTGACAATAGTTTACAGACAACGCATTACAGACACAGACAGAACACTAATGATGGATTACTGACACACAAACAGGATTACTGACACTGTATCACTGAATCCAAATCACTGGCAGATAGAACAACTAACACTGGATTACAGACAATACTGACACACAAACAGGATCACTGACGATGGATCACAAACAGAATAACTGATAATGGATTACTGACCCTGGATCACTGACGATTGATTACTGACAATAGATCAATGACACTGGATCACTGACACAGAATTACTGATGATGGATTACTGACACACAAACAAAATTACTGACACTGGATCATGGAGACTGGATCACTGACTGATATAATTAGTAACACTGGATTAAAATACTGACACACAAACTGACACTGAATCACTGACACCGGATCACAGACACAAACAGAATTACTGATGATGGGTTACTGACAGACAGAATTCTTGGCGATGGATCACTGACACACAAACTGGATCTCTGACACTAGATCACCGATGATAGATTACTGACACTGGATCATTGTCACTGGATCACAGACAGAATTACTGATGATGGATTACTGACACTGGATTACTCATGATAGATCATTGACGATCAGACAATGCACTACTGACAGACAGAATTACTGATGATGGATTACTGACACACAAACAGGATCACTGACACTGGATCACTGACACTGTATCACTGACAATGCATTACTGAAAGACAGAATTCCTGACGGTGGATCACTGACACACAAACAAGATCCCTGAAACTGGATCACTGACAATGAATTACTGACACTGGATTATTGGCACTGGATCCATGACAGATAGAATTTATAACACTGGATTATTGACACACAAACAGGATCACTGACACTGAATAAGTGACACTGGATCACTGATGATGGGTTACTGACACTGGATCACTGACGATGCATTACTGACAGACAGAATTCCTGGCAATGGATCACTGACACACAAACTGGATCCCTGACACTGGATCACTGAAGATAGATTACTGAGAGTGGATCATTGTCACTGGATCACAGACAGAATTTCTGATGATGGATTACTAACACTGGATTACTCACAATAGATTGTTGAAAATCAAATAATGCACTACTGACAGACAGAACTACTGATGATGGATTACTGACACACAAACAGGATCACTGACACTGGATCACTGATGATGGGTTACTGACAGACAGAATTCCTGACGATAAACACTGACATACAAACAAGATCCCTGACACTGAATCACTGACACTGGATCACTGATGATGCATTATTGACACTGGATCACTGACCATGGATTACTGACAATGGATCATTGACACTGGATCACTGACACAGACAGAATTACTGACACTGGATTACTCACAATAGATTATTGACGATCAGGCAATGCACTGCTGACAGACAGAACTACTGATGATGGATTACTGACACACAAACAGGATCACTGACGATGCATTACTGACAGACAGAATTCCTGACGATAAACTACTGACACAAACAAGATCCCTGACACTGGATATAATTTATAACACTGGATTAATGACACACAGTCAGGATTACTGAAGATGGATCGTTCACAATGGATCATTGACACTGGATTACTGACACACAAACAGGATCACTGTGATAAACACACACACACACACATAGACAGACACAATTACTGACACGCATCAGTGCTAGTCAACGCTTACTGTGAATGAGTGTCTGCAGGTCCTCCATCTCTCTGAGCAGCAGCTCGGTTTCCTCGAACGCCTCCATCAGCGCAGACGCGTCCAGCAGCCGCCGGGTTAACGCTCTCCGGTCGGCTTCACTCACCGCTCCGCTCTCCAGACGGCTACTAACGGCCCGGTGCTCGTCAACCGCGCGTTTAACGAGTCTTCGGAGCGCGTCGTGCTGCAGGAAATCATCGCTTCTGTGGCCGGCGGATCTGCAGACTGTCGCGGTCAGAACACGAGGAGAAACCCGCCTCACCAGCCGCCTCAGAGCCGCAGCCATCGCCGCATAAACAGACGCTAGTTAGTTCTCAGCTAACCGGCTCAGCCAAACACATGACAGCAGGCTAACCCTCATATAAACAGGACTCTTTATTAAACTGGTCATATTAGACTGGACATAAACTGGTCATCTAGAGTACCGTACAGGTCAGAATATGTACACAAGATCGCACATGGCCACAATAACACAGGAACAACCGGAACAGGAAGAGGCAGTGAGGGGTTGCAAGAAGGGATACAGCTGCGGAAGGAAGTTAACGAGAATTATTTATTAAATTGCCCATTAGTTCTATTTTATTAACGTCTGCCCCAACCCAAACATCACAGCAAAGTAAAACAGTAATTATACAGAGTATTATTTAAAATATTTATGAAATTAACCATTATTTGTATTTTATCAACATCTACCCCAATGCCAAACCCTCACAGTAAATTTAAAACAGTAATACTGAGTATTATAAATACTATTTATTAAAATTACCCTTTAAAATGTATTTTATTACCGGACTTCTACACCAACCCAAACAGTAATGTAAAACATTAATTATTGTGAGTATCCGCAGCTGTATCCCTTCTAGGTCAGCGCTCATGGAATAAGAGTTCACAGACTTCATTAATTAATTTCATATAGATATGAATAGACTATTTCCATTTGTTTTTCAGGTTCGAATAATGTGATTTAATTAGACTTTACTAAAACAGTTTACTATCAGATTACCGCTTCAGTGCAGTCCATGGTTCAGCGTAGTTTCCTGTTCTGAGCCCTCAGCGACGCCTGCAGGAGGAGCAGGGAAGCGCCAGGACTGGAGGCTTTTTACGGTCTTAATTTAGTTCCCCATACCAGATCTTTCATCTTCTTCCGTTTTGATTATTAGTACTAAATACATAAAGCTGAAATAAAACCAAATCCATAGAATAAAATATTTTACACATCAATCTTCCTTTCTGCGCATGCGCTTCTTCGTCATCTATCATTCCCGCCGTTATAATGGACAGCCTCAGGTAACATTTACTTATGAAAACCCTCATCTGATCAGAGTAATTGTTTGTAATATACGATATTTAATTGGTTTGCTACATTTTATTGGCTTAGACGCCTTTTGCTGACGCTAGTTTTAACAAGTTTAACCGCATTTGAGGTATTACAGATAGAATCAGCCGTTAATGAGAGACGGAGATTCTGCATGCGGTTCCTCATTTATTCCTCCGTCATTCACAGTAAATTGATGAATTATGAACTCATAATGAGCTCACAGATCTGTGTTTGTTCAGTCAGCAGGATTTTCCTCTGAAAGATGCGCTTCAGGAGCTTCTACAACAGGGGGAGGCGCGCGCACAGCAGATCAGTGACGCGCAGCGCGCTCTACACACACTGCAGGTGCACGCGCACACAACATACACATTAACACACATACAAAATCACACACACACACAAACATTTGTTTCACTATATCAGTGAGGACGTTTCAAAGACCTAAAGTTCCTGATGTTCTTTACTATGGCGGCTTAAGAAAGAAAGGGGGGGGGGGTTGTCGCTAGGACACTTCAGATCACTTTGGTCACTTTGCTAGCAGCATGCTAGTTCATTCTAGAACCATGCTAATATATGTTAGCAACTGCCTAGCAACTACTCAGAACATCTTAGCAACCGCCTAGCAACACCTTACCAACCGCTTAACAACACCTTAGCAGCCATCTAGCAATGCCTTAGCAACCACCTAGCAACAGTACAGAACACCCTAGCAACATCTTAGCAACCACTCAGAACACACCAACAACCACCTAACAACACCCTATCAACCACCTATCAACACCTTAGCAACAACTTTGGTACGCCTTTACAACCACACAGAACATCATATCAAAACCTTAGCAACCGTCTAGCTACATCGCAGTAACCACTAAAAACAGCCTAGCAACCACCTAGCAACATTTTAGCAAACACCTATCAACATCTAAGCAATCACTTAGAACACTCTAGCAACCACCAACCAACACCTTAGCAACAATCTTGCAACACCTTATCAACCACCTAGCAACACCTTAGCAACAACCAAGAACAACTTAGCAACCACTTAGCAATGCCTTAACTACCACCCAGAACACTCTAGCAACATCTTAGCAAACACTCAAAACACCCCAGCAACCACATAAAATACCATAGCAACTACTCAGAACACTCTAGCAACTTGAAACCGCCTAGCAACATCTTAACAACTACCTGGAAAACCCTAGCAACCGCCTAAACCACTTAGAACATCTTAGCAACTGCCTAGTGACCACTCAAAATGCCCTAGCAACCGGCTAGCAACACCTAAGCAACCACTCAGACCACCCTAGAAACCATTGACAACACCCTATTACTTAGCAACCACTCAGAACCCCCTATCAACAGCCTAGCAAGAGACATGCTAATCTATATGTAGTCATCACTGTATAAACTGAATGAAGCTCTTTGAGTGACCTAACCCTTTCAGTGTTCACCGATGTCTGCGCAGGACTCTCTGGAGGTGATGGAGCGGAGCCGCGAGTCCGTCTGTTCTCAGGTCAGACTGAGGCAGAAGATGCTGACGGCGCTGCACTGCGATGCGGAGACGCTTCAGTGCAGCATCATGCAGCTGCAGGTGCAGACTCAGAGCGCAGCCATGCAGAACCTGCAGCTCAGAGCCCAAATGCAGGATCAGCAGGAGCAGCGGCGCTCACAGCTGCAGGTGTTCAGCTCGTACCGCAGCCGCCTGCAGGCCTTCAGGTGCGCCGTGAGCCCGCAGCAGAGCCCTGCACACGTCTGCGAGGAGCTGCAAATGAAAATGCAGGAGATCCGCAGACTCACACACACTCTGGAGGAGATGAAGAGGCAGCATGCAGACAGCAGATCCGGCCTGCACACACAGGTCTCACACACTCCACATACACACACACACACACACACACACACACACACACACACACACACACACACACACAGCTTTCTGCTGGGAGACCTCTGTCTTCTTGACGAGATTAAATGTGTAATGTGTAGTGACGCTGACAACAGAGGTGCAGATCCAAATGCAGGGTTTATTAGCAGGAATGGTCAGGCAAGCAACCGTCAACACAGGAGCAAACAGATGTACACGGGCAAGAGTCGTGGTCAATAAACAGGCAGATGGTCAAATGGCAGGCAGCAGACAACGTAAAACAAACAAAACAAAGCAAGGTTCAAACACGGCAGGCAAGGCAAGCAAACCGCGTGGTAAAATGCAGTTCACTAAAACAAGACTCAGCAATGAGTGTGTGAAAGTGAGCCGTATATATATGTGTGTGTAATCAGTGCATGAGCAGCATCAGCTGTGGGAGTGTAATCAATGGAGACTTGGAGCAGGTGTGTGTGTGGGTTGCATGACTGGAGCTTGTAGTCCATATACCAGCAGATTTGTAGTTCTCGGTGATCTGCATGGACTAGATCGCTGGTGACTGACGAGATGTATTTATCATGATGTACGCAGCGTTGTGGTTAATGCTAAGCGATGGAGCTAGATTTTGGGGAGTGACGCAATACTGTAATGCTTTACTTTCAGAATTAACTTTCCTCAACACTTCATATATCTATAAAAGCTGCCAAAATGCTCATTTTTAACAGGTATAACAAAAAACAAAACACTTAGTATTTAATATGATGGTAAAGCACAAGAGCCAACACTTTACAATGAAGTCTCATTAGTAAATGTTAGTTAATTACAGTGAGAAATAGCCGTATTATAGTTATATTAATAGGGATGTCCCAATCAGGTGTTTTTGCCCTTGAGTCATTTGATTTTGAGTGTCCGTCGATACTGAAACCTGATCCAATACTTCTATAATACAAAAATAAAGAAGAGTGCAGAAACAGATCCAGGATGTTCCTTATTTGTTCACCTTATTTTAACGTTCAACACCTCTGTTAACAAGCAGAGCACTTCTGTGAGGACGCTTCAACAATCAACTAATAAATAACATCCATTCTTCACTCTTGGACTTCAGCGCATTAGTAAATCTAATATAAGAACAAACAGCACCTACACTTACATTCCCCAGCAGTAGGGTTGTCGCAATACCATTAGTTCATATTATGATACCAAGCAGTGTTGTGATACTGTAATTCACAACTCAAATTATAAAGAAAATACTGTATTTAATGTTATAATAGGCTTACTTTAATGCAGCTCATAATTCCCTTCTTATTGAAACTGTATTATTTGCACGTCACTCCACCTAAAGTGTACTCATTGTTTTTGTTTATTTTGTAGATAACCGACCAGCTAAAATACAGTAAAATAAAGACACAAATTATCCAGAACGAAATTTGCTACAAATAAAGAGCATTTTTCCAGCAAAATTAGGCGATATGAGGTGCTCACAAAGTGTTTCAGTGTTTCCTGTTGATATTTTGGGCTTTTCATCATTAATTTTTCATCATTCAACAATCAAAAGCAATTGAAATGTCTCGGTTGTTGTAGCTGCTAAATCATATTGACAGCACAAATGAACCGATTCAGATGTGTGTTCAAACTGAAGCGTTAGAAAACGTGCAGTAGGCTATCATAAGAGGTGCGAATTCTACACAGTTTTACAATCTTAGAGAGCTTCACAGACTATTAAAATAAAATGGTCTATTGTTGCACAAACGTGTCAGCATTTTAGAGACTTTTCCACATGCAAAATGATCTATTGTAGATAAAGCATTAATGACGATAAAGCATTGTACTGTTTACAAACTACAGTGGCACCTAGGCATGGGCCGGTATAAGACTGACGGTATGATAACCTTGGTTAAAAATATCAGTTTCACGCTATTGTGTACACTGCTTTAAATTATCTATATTTTTTAAATGTCTTGGTAAAAAACAAAAACTTTTTCCCTTTTGAGTTAAAGGGATAGTTCACCCAAAAATGAAATGAATTTACTCCCTCTTGTTTCAAACCTTGAGTTTCTATCTTCTGTTGAACACAAAGGAAGATATTTTGAAGAATGTTGGAAACCTGTAACTATTGACTTCCATACAATGCGTTTTCCTGCAATGCAAGTCAATGGTTACAGGTTTTCAGCATTCTTCAAAATATCTTCTTTTGTGTCCAACAGAGGAATGAAACTCATAAATGTTTATAAGCACTTGAAAGTGAGTAAATAGTGACTGCATGTAGAGTTCTTGGTGAACTGACCCTTTAATGAACAAAACACCTATAAATAGTCAAAGGATTTTCAATGTGGTTGGCCAGATTAATACATGAAAAGCCCTGTTTCAGACACCGCTGATCTATGAGGTGCTGTGTTGAACATCACTAATACAGTTATCTGCATATTCTTCAAAACCACTGTAAAAGCGCGAGTAATAAACAATTGCTGACTGTGTTTTGATGTCAGTCCTGTGCAGGACAGTGGCACCTCCAGAAAATTTTCTTAGGGGTGGCCAGAAGAGGCCGCACCAAATCTTGGGGTGGCAAACAAAAAAAATAATGAATTCAGTGTAATGTTATATTTTTGTTTCTGGTAAATGCAATAATGCAGTTTTTATTCATTTAATTAATTCTACTTGAAATATTGCAATTTATTCTTTGAAATAATTCAGCAAGTACATGGTCAAACCAAATAAAAATCTATGTTTAGTTTAAAAACACTTTTCATATACTGTATAAATGACTTCTTTTTTTACGTGCCTTTATTGTACATCATACGAGATATGCCATGTCTAAAATTAATGAAGATTAATGAGTTTATTATTCCCGGAGATGGGTTGCAGCTGGAAGGGCATCCGCTGTGTAAAAATGTGCTAGATAAGTTGGCGGTTCATTCTGCTGTGGTGACCCTGGATTAATAAAGGGACTAAGCCGAAAAGAAAATGAATGAAAGAATAATGAGTTTATTAATAACCCAAACAAATGAACAAACTGAACAAAAGGGATTACTATATACACACTCACTATACCTAATAATATTATTTATCCATATTACTTTCTGAACCATTTTATTAATGCAGCTTCTTCTATTGATATACTGTAGCTTAAGGTAAATATTAAATAGCAATTGCTGTCTATTGAAGGTGTGTGCGTGCTGTCAAGGACGATCAGGGAGGGTAGTAGGTGGTGGTTCTAGTTTAAATGACACCCTGGCAAACCACCCTATACACCCCACCTCCCTTGAATTGTTAGATTTGTTATTCAATAAATATAACAAATTATTTATATGTATTCTAAATAAATACAATTAATATTAATATACAATTATTATTCTAAATAAATAACAGAAATCAGTCCTAAACATTACTGGAAAACAACAACTGGAGTGACATGCCAAGATCACTTAAGAAAACTTTTGCATGAAAATTAATTATGACAATTCTAAAGAATATTAAAAATGTATTATAGAATTATCTGTGGTCTTAGACCAGATCATGGCTGAGAAATCATGTTATGAAGTCTTACCTCCCTGACTCATCCCTCCTTTCTGCTTTAAAGGCATGCTTAGTGAAAGTAACATCATCATCATCATCATCATCATCATATAAACTTTAGTCGACTTTCAAAACTCGCTGCGTGCTGACACCTCTGCACAAAAGGCTGTTACTCCGTTTCACGGCGCATGAGCGCTGCCTATTATGTCGGCGTGCATGCAAACAACCAACCGGGATTCACACAGGAGTGCGTGATGCGTCAGTTTGCTTTCACCAGCATTGAACCAGAGGGGGAGAGCTACGTCAGTAACACCAACAATAAATTAGTGACTGCATTTTATTTATTTATTTATTTAAATATTGAGACTTTATAAGTTCATTTAAATCAATAATGTCAACCGCAAAATTATATTGGGGTGGCCACAGTTTACTGAGGGGTGGCCGTGGAGGCGCCCATGGTGCAGGACCACCATCACCATATAGTGAGTTACTGAATATCAGCGCATGTTTAATGACCACTCACACACACCTGTTTCCATCTTCAGGAGGACATCGAGTTTCTGAAGACGAGGATTAATGAAGCCAGACAGACCATGAAGGACAGCAGAGCTCATCTGGAGAACGAGAAACACACACACACACAGCTGAGGAGAGAGATCGAGGTACACACACACACACACACACACACACACAGCTGAGGAGAGAGATCGAGGTACACACACACACACACACACACACACACAGCTGAGGAGAGAGATCGAGGTACACACACACACACACACAGCTGAGGAGAGAGATGGATGTACACTTTCATTTATTCATACAGCATTAACCCTTTAGATGGGCCTGTGCTGAAGAGGTTCAGTGTGTTATATTGAGTTCAGTGGAGTAAAACAGCAGATTATAGTGTGTGTGTGTGCAGAAATACACTGTGTTTACTGTGTTCTGACAGCTGAGGGGGTGACTTTGAGTTTCAGACATATCAACGGCGATACGAGACGATATAAGAGAAGAGCTTTAAATGTCGTTTATACGGTTGATCATGGTCAGAAACTCACAGCACCTGTAAGTGGTTGATGTTGAGCTGTTCTCAGAGCAGTTTTGCTCATCTCTCAGATCCAGAGGCGCCGGTGTGAAGCCATCCAGAAGCGTCTGCGCTGTCAGCTGAAGAAGACTCAGTCCAGCCAGCGGCGTCTGCGCAGCGACGTCACACACATGGAGAAGCAGCTGGAGGATCTGCGGCGTCTGGAGGAGCGATAAACACACTACAGCCTTACCTTACCTCTGATCTAATGCACACCAGCAGGTAAAACACGAGCACACCACAGCCTTACCCACATTTAAAGCATGCGCATTACGGTTAGACAGATCAGCGTTCAGATTCAGTGTTCAGTCAGAGTGTGTGTTTGGAGGATCTGTTCAATAAATGAGCACACTCACAAACAGACGCTGCTCCGTTTCACACTTTCCTACTCAGAGTTTGTCTCGTTTCCAGTCTAAATATCTTCATTCACTCATTTTCCTTCAGCTGAGTCCCTTTATCCATCAGGGGTCGCCACAGCGGAATGAACCGCCAACTATTCCAGCATATGTTTAACACAGCGGATGCCTTTCAAGCTGCAACCCAGTACTGGGAAACATCCATACACACTCATACACTACGGCCAGTGTAGTTGATCAGTTCCCCTATAGCGCATGTGTTCGGACTGTGGGGGAAACCGGAGCACCCGAGGGAACCCACACCAACACGAGGAGAACATGCAAACTCCACCTTCTTGCTGTGAGGCAACAGTGCTGACCACTGAGCCACCATATCACCCGCATCTAAAAATCAAGAGATCTAAAGTAAGGATATCTGTATTCTGGTGTCTCTAATACAGTGATAACATTCACATTCAGAACATTTAAACCTGATATAAACATTTACTTTGTTGAGTAATGATCAAGTCAAACATCTTGTACAGAAAGCCCATATCAGAGCGCTACAGGAGACCGTTAATGCTGCGTTCACATGGGGCGTCAGAGTCAACTGTTCCCATTCACTATGAGTGTGTGATGTTAAGCATTGCTGAACTGAACTGTGTGAAGCGTCAGCCAATCAGATCACTTTATGCAAATTCCCCAGCTCACACAGTAGCTGATTGAGGACTTGTTTCATTGGCTGATGCTGCTATGATGATCGCGTTAGCCTCACCTGCAGACACGGCCTCCATCAAGCGCTGACGCTGAAGCCCCGTGTGAATCAGGCATAAAGTAACCCAGAGGCAGTGAAGAACGGCAGCAGGACACCGGTGCTCATTTCCTGCTCATTTATTAAAGTCACTGTGCAGCTGTTGAGTGCAACTGTACAACGTCACATGTTTAAAGGAAACATGCACATACTGTGAGGTCAAAGGTCACGATCATCGGCGGACTGACATGTGACCAGAGCGATGGACTGTAAGGCAAATAACTTAATCTGAGCAGAACTCCTTCATCAGGTGTGTGTGTGTTGAGCTCCAGCGCATGTCTTTACACAAATGAGTCCCAGAGTCCTGACAGCTCTCGTCATCGCTCGCTCTTACTCACACGCGTCTCCTCTTCAGAAAAACAAGTCAAGCTTCTCCTTAAAGCACGCTGAATGCTCCGCCGGCGGGGTCAGCTAAAGAAACCTGTTCAGATTATTTATTAAACACGCTGCAGATTATTCAGCTTTGCTTTAAGGAGACACTTGTGCAATGTGGACAGTTTTTGTCTCCTGAAAAACACACGTTCATATTTACAAATA